GGTAGGGTCGCAACTGGCGCACCAGGCGAACCTGGGCAAATGCCCCCCTGGTCACAGCCGTCAAATGATGGTCGAAAGTCAGCTGTGGGTCCAGGTGGAGCAGAGGTATAACATACAGTGATCAAGGAATGCACACATACGGGCTTGTGCTATTGCAGTCTGTACCAGCTGTAGCCTCCAGATGGTCTTCAAGGGCAACCTTATGTAAATCACATTCCAGTAGTCCATTCAGGAGATGACTAGGAATGAATGACCATGAGCCAGATCATGGTCCAAGAACAGGCGCTTGTGGTTCAATAATAGGCACTACTGGTGCACACATTCCTTAAACAGGAGCTGTGAGTCCAGAATGACTCCCAAATTGTACACAGGTTCTGTTTGGGATAATTCCGTTCCATTCAAAATTAGTGGTGGAAACTTTCCAAAATCAGGGGGCCCTAATAATTAAAGCCACTGAGTCTTGCTAAGATTGAGCTGAAGCCTGTTGTTCCTCATACAGCCTCCAGTCACTGAGACAGAACCTCCACATCTTCATTTGGATGGTCAGGGATAGAGATATAAAAACTGGGAATCATTGGCATGCTGATGGTATGGTGCCATCAGGTGACCACACGCACACGTGGGCTCCATGTAGACCTTAAACAGGGAAAGACAGAGAACCAAGCTCCAAGGAACCCTGCAAAAGAGGGGCAGAGGGCTGGGCTTCCCCACCATCAATACCAACTACAACCAGCCCAGGAAAAATAAAGACAACTAGCCAACACAGTGCCATACACTCGTCAGAGCCATTACAGAAAAATATCATGTCTGAAGTTATTGAAGGCCACAGAAAGGTGAAGAAGAGGTAGGAGGAATGCACCACCCCTCCTCCACTAACCAAATGTTATCCACCAGCACAAGCAATGCTGTTTGTGTCCCATATCCAAGCCTGAAACCTGACTGTAATGTATCTGGATAGCCTGCTTCTTCCAGAATTCTCTGTGGCTATTGTATGACCACCTTCTCTACAACCTGTCCTAAAAAAATTAAGGTTGGAAACTGGATAATAATTGTCTAGCAACAATGACTTCTTAAGAAGGGGGTGAATCACTGCCTCTAAGAGTCACCTCCAGAGGTTCTCCCCAGTGGTGGGTTTCCAAATTTTTTACTACTGGAACGTGCATGTTCAGAAGCATCCGGGCAGCTGGGCGGAACCTTCCGCCGCTACTACTACTGGTTTGCCCGATCTGAGCCAAATCGGGAGCAACCCACCTCTGGTTCTCCCCAAGTCTGGACTCCAACTTGGAACCAATCCAAAGGACTTTGTCTGACATACACAAAGTACATTCCTTACAGTATTGTCTTTTTTTAAAATATATTTTTATTATTTTTACATTTAAAACAATGCAGTACCGCGAAGTCTAAGTGACCATACTTTCACATTATATACAGCTGGTCTCAACTATTAACTATTAGCCTACTTAATACATTGTCTATCCTTCTGTCCAATCACAATATATACAGTTTGTTCNGAAGGCTGAGTCAACCTTGAGCCGGTGAGATTAGAACCGCTGAACTGCAGATAAGTCAGCTGAAGTGGCCTGCAGTACTGCACCCTAACCACTGCACCACCTCGGCTCTTCAATAGACCCTGGTAGAATATTTGCTCCCTATTGTGAGATGTCCACACTTTTTTTCCTTATTTTTTGTGGGTTCTCTAGCTATGTGGTATGTTGAGGTTCCTGGTAATGGGACGTGGAGTGGATGAAGAAATTGTCGGGCTTGTGAATTTTTTTAATTTTTAGTATTCATAAAAGCATGGGAGGATGAGTCCACTGTTTTTCATCCACTGCTGTTCTTTTGTGATTTATATTTTAAAAGATCGTTATTTCTATTTTAAAACCAACAAGTATGGTAAATTAAATTTACAACACACACATTTCAGAAATCAGAGTATCGCAGAGCATAGTTCTGCAGCAGTTAAAGCAGTAGCCCTTTCTTTTAATAGCAAGAAGCAGGTTCGGACAAAATGCTCATATACAGGACACCAAGGACCTAGGACAGATATGAGTGAATGGTTCTACCCATTTCTGACTTGGTCCAATTTCAAATAGAAACACTGAGCCAAACTCTTAAAGACTCAAAAGTGTTACCATGTTTCCCTGAAAATAAAACCTCCCCAGATAATAAGCCCCATCAGGCTTTTGAGCGCATGCGCTAAAATAAGCCCTCCGCCAAAAATAAGCCCTCCCCGAAAATACTGCAACCCAGCCACGAGGTGACCACACTTGCCACCTCCTACACCTCAAAAATAATAAGACCTCCCCGAAAATAAGACTAAGCGCTTATTTTGGTGGTCAAAAGAAAATAAGACCCTGTCTTATTTTCGGGGAAGCACAGTATATTGAAGAGTTGAACTGGAACTGTGAAAATACAGATGCAAGGCTATTTTTACAGATTAACAGAGTTTGAAAGGATCTTGTTGGTCATCTAGTCCAATACCCACCCACCCACCCCCAAGCACACCCTACACCATTTTTGACAGATGGCAATCCAGTCTCTTTCGAAAGCTTCCAGTGATGAAGCTCCTACTACTTCTGGAAGCAAGCTTTCCAAAAGCAACAACCTTGCTGGATCAGACTTGCCTCTTAAGACCAATTTCCCTACAGGAACAAGCTAATAGGTGTAGAAAGCTCATAAGCCATGCATATAGCCTAGAGCCCTCCTTAATATCCACTGGATGATGTTGGGCTAGTCAGTCTCTCAGCCCAATTTACTTCAGGGGATTAGAGTTGAGGAGGGGAATTTTGGAAGAGGAATTACTAAGCACAATGTTTGGAGGACAGGCCAGTCATAAATGAAACAAAAGCAAAATTTCCCTAATCAGACAAGACCAGAGCAACAGATGGTGCAGAGATGCAGCTGGCCCTCTCCTTCACGGGTGGATCATTTAACTATCAGCGAAACATCCCTTAGTTTTTTGTTTTTTTTTTAAGCAAGCAGTTTCCCCTCTGGGAATGACCAGCGGAATGCCTGCACCGGCGAAGGGTGCTGGGGGGCATTTTGAAGCCCTAGCAAATCGTTTTGCTATGAAAAGAAAGGACGGCCTACAGCAGACGCGCCTCCAGCGAGCACGCTTTAAATCGTGCGCCTTTTTTCGACGATCAGGCGGAGGCGGCTCGTTATCCCAGCTGCCATATGGTCTCTGGACCCGAGCAACGCCACGCAGCCATTCGCTAGGCCACGGCGCCCTCCCCATTTCTGGAAGCGACTCTCCTTTCCAAGAGGCGGCGGAGCGGGAAAGATGAGTCGCTCCCGCAACCCGCGCCTCGCCTCCTTCCCCCTCGACGCCGAGGGAAAAGTGAGCCGCGCGCGCCATCGGGAGCGGGGAGGGGGGGAGGCTGCGCGCAAGCGCCTGCCTGGCGGCTCTTTACCTCGCGCGCCCCCTCCCCGCCCGGCCGCCCCTCGCGCGCTCCAGCCTATTGTTCCGCCGCCGGCGCTTCCTTTCTTTCCCCTCTCGTTTTTCTCCCCCACCCCCCTCGGAAGTGGGCGGGGTTTTTCCCCCGGCTGCGTCCGACTGACACTTCGGGGGCGGGCCGGAGCCGCTAGAAAACGAGAGACTGGAGCCGGCTTGCCCGGCGGCTCAGAATCATCGGCGGCGGCATCGCTGCTGTTGTTGGAGGCAGCTTTGGGGCCTGCTGTGCGGCGCTTGGGCTGCCTCGGCGCGGGCTGGCAAGCCAATGAGGGCCCGGACTCCGGCCCTCGCTGCCTCAGGAGCTGCCGGGAGCCCCCCGTGCCGACCTCCGGCCCGAATAAGGGCGGGTCGATTGCCCCCCCCATGCGGCGGCTCCAGGAGAAGTTCAGGAGGTGAGGCGCAGCGGAGGCTTCTCGCGGGGTCGGAGGGGGATTCTGTTGTAACAAGGCTGAAGGGTTGGTGGCGATTCCCTCCTCTGTCTTCTACCGGAGGGGGAAGGCAGATTCCCCACCTTAATGGGCGTGTTCGCCTTCGGATGCTTTTTAATCGGGGAAAGATTCTGCATCGTTCTCCTGGCCGGACCTCATTTTGTACCGTTCACCCCGTGAATGGAGATCTCTTAAAATAAAACGGTCCTTTTTTAAAAAACACCAAAAACCACACACGTATCTTTCGTCCTCCCTTCTCCAGTTGGCCGCATTCCGTGGAGTTAAGGACCGAAACGTGGGCTTCGCTCTCCTTTTCCCTGCTCCCGTTTCCTGGCATGGCTTTGAGGGGTTTTAATTTGCTATTTTTGGGTTAGAGAGGTTGCCGGGGGTGATGGTAGGGGAGGTGAGAGAGCATATCCAGATATCTTAATTTGAGTTGGCACAATAACCTGCTTGCGAGGTAGTCGTAGTCGAGGGGTCAAGTGAAAATAGATTCGGGGCGAGAGTCATTAATCGAGATTAATTAAAGCAGAACACAGATGATGTAGATGTGGTGCTGTGTATCTCATTCAGGCAAAGGTGTAAACCGTTGCCTCTTTTCTAAAGACTGGAAGCCTATAAAAGGGCTGTGGTCTTGATTTGCTATATATATATATAATATATATAATAATATATATATATATATATNCAATTTAAGTAATCTTTTATTTCTCACTCAACATTATCCATTCTTTTAACCATGATAGAATGGCCGCAGTATAATAAAGTTCCCAATCTGGTATGCCAAATCCTCCTTTGGTAATACATTCATTTTTATGACTGTGATCCTACCCATCAGGGACAATTATAGGTTTTTCCACCTTTCTAAGTCTTTCTTAGTTTTATTGATCAAATTAGTACAGTTATCTTCTTTGATGGACAAACACCTCACAGATAAATGTATACCTAGATATTTGACTTTTTTGACAGTTTGGATACCCAATTTCTTCGTTAACTCCTCTTTTGATTTTGGTGTCATATTTTTAACCAGCATTTTAGTCTTTGTCATATTTATCTTTAAACCTGCTACTTTCCCATACTCTGTCAATTGTTTTCAAAAATTTAAAAAACTGAAATAACATTACATTTTTTTAAATGCCTTTTAGATGGTAATTTATTGAAAGCAGTATACTCCTAAATTATTCTCTTAAAGCTAAAAATGACTTGAATGTCATGTTCATAAGATTCAATTCCAAACACAACGGATACCCTATAGGTTTGATGGAGAGGAAATCATACTACCATGTTTTGCTCACATTACTGAGCGATTGAAAAAAAATCCCAGCTTTCCAAGGGTTGGTATGAGTTTAGTGAGTTTCATATGATTTGATGGACTAACCATTTGTAGACTTGGGTTTGTAGACTCCATATTATGGCAGTAATGGGAAACAACAATTGTGTATTACTACATATAACCCTCAGGACAATTTGAAATTTATCAGTAGAACCATTTGTGAAGACTACAGAACTGAATATAGGGGACTAAGAAAATATGAAAATATGCCCAATGATGGGGTTGTCCCAATATTTCATCAGTCCAATAAATATAGCAGTGATATTCTGGATCTGTGTTTCTTCTTGAAATGTAGACTTTCAAGAATATCCCAATTCCTCTTTCATCAAGAGGAATTCTAATGGTTCCCAGAAAGTTGTATGGAATTATCAGGTAAGTATGACTAACATTCCTGTTGAAACTCTTATTACTCATAGATAGGCACTTTGCATAATTGTTCTCAGGCATCCATTCCCCTGTAAATTAAATAATTTAACAAAACATCTGGCAGATTGTTTTCTTTCACTTTGAGATCCAGGTTGGGTTTCATCAGGATATTGAATAGTATGATTTCTCAGTCATACGTTCCCTTGTAAATTAAATAAGCTTCTGAATCTGTTCCTCAAAGTCCCAAATCAAGCATTGAAAGTTTAATATGCTGCTCAAAAGCCCCCTTCAAGTTTTCTAGGCATGCATCCACATATCTTAAATATAGTTCGGGGAAATGCATTCATCTAGGTGCATTGCATTATGACCAAGTATATGCAATTGGTCACCTGTATATTTCAACCTTGCCCATTGTGATTTGTTATGTTAAAAAGTAGAGGATGGAATAGTTTAATCTGGATTCTAAATTCCTCCTTGAAAGAGAGAGGTACTGTATTCCAGCCTTTTAAAAAGAAGCAGAAATCATACTATTCAATGTGCTGATAAAGCCCAATCTGGATCCCAAAGTGAAAGAAAACAATCTGCCAGATGTTAATATTTTTTTAATTATTAAGCAAATGGCTGTCACCCAGACTCCAGGAAATCTTGAGGAAAACTGATTTTCTAAAATCTACTTGACCTTAACATAAGGTCCAATTTTTAGGTAGATACAGGTAATCCTTGACTTACAACCACAATTGCGCTCAAAATTACTGTTGCTAAGTGAGACAGTTGATGTGTTTTGTTCCATTTTATGGGGTTTCTTGCCACATAAGTTACTACAGTTATTATACAGTTACTATAAGATAGTAACATGGCTGTTAAGCCGTTGACTGCTTGTCAGATAAAAGATTATCACATGACCCCCAAGACCCTGCAAAGGTCCTAAATATGAGTCATTTGCTGAATGTCTGAATTTTGATCACATGACCATGGGGATGCTGCAACGATCATAAGTGTAAAAAACAGCCATAGATCACTTTTTTCAGTGCTGTTGTAATTTCTAATGGTCATAAATGAAATGATGTAAGTCGAGAACTACCTGTACTGTCATAGTTACCTGTATAAAGATCACTATAAAGACCAATGTTGGTTGTTTGCATTTAGGGTTATTCATTTTATTCTACTGGGCATCAAATTTTAAACTTAGTATGAAAGGTACACAGCAAATTTAAAAATACAATAAACCTATCAACTGATAAATAGCTTCGAAGTAGATGTATTCCTAGTGCTGATAATCTATGTGAAAACTGATAATCTTGCGGTTATGGTTATCTGAAATGATGTTAGTATTAGTTTTTACACTTGATGAAATATTCGAAAATATCTGGAGAAAGAAAAGTTGGAGAACTTGTTCCAAAAAAAAAAAGTGTCTGAAATTGACATAGCAGCAAATCAAGTATATTTCAGTCCTTCTGTAAGAATGACATACACAAAAAAGGAAGATTGCTAAATGTATAAGAGCATTTACAACAGCAGATAGGCTGATAGAACCAATGGATAGAAAAAATATATAGAACACTTACAAAAATTCCTTCCATTTAAGGAAAAAAAACCTTTGGATCTAAGTCAACATTTATTTTAAGCACTATAATTTATTGCACTTTCTAAATCATTTCCCAAAATGGTTCACCTTCAACAAAAAAAAGTAAGACATCTTCATTCTGTTGAGAAGGAAGGTTAAAAAGTGAAATCAAATGATTATTTTCAACTCATGAGGCCAGGCATCCTTCAAACAGGTACTGCAGATTTTTAAATTTTATTTTCTAGCTGCTCCTAGATGCTTTTCCTACTTTTCTTCTTTTTTTAGAAGGCAATCTTTTGACTGTATGTTTGCAAAATTCTGTTCAAACCTATTTTTAATTATATTCATATTTTCAATAGATGAGAAATACTGTATGTAGCTCAGGGCTGAATTGTGGAGTCCTTGCTGCTGTGTAAGTTGGCTGTTTGCCTGCAGATGTTTCACTACCTGACTAGATAACATCAGCAGTGCTAGCAAGTGTGGGGTTTGCTCCCTGTTTATATATAGTTAGTTGCTTGCCCTGCCAGTGTTGATTGGGAGTGTAGTTTCCTCCTTGGTAGTTCCTTAGTAGATATTGTTTTCTGCTTGATTGTATCACTGCCCTACATCCTGCTTATATGGATGTAGGCTGCTGGAGAGGATGTGTTCTGGTATTTTTGTTTCCTTCTTAGCTTTTGTCCCTTTTGAATGATGTATAAATTTGGTTCATTACTCTGTCTCTATTGATGCTTGATTTATCTAAATGCCAAACTTCCAGGAATAATCCAGCACAGTGTTGGTCAACTTTTTTGGCACTGAGTACTGAAATGGAAACGCCGGGGGGGGGTCAGAAATAAGAAGAGCAGTTCCCTGGTTCTCATGCATGCGCTGGGACGCTGAGTTTCTGGTTTTTGATGTGTACATGTGCACTGGTCACTTGGTTTTCCGGTTGATGGCGTGTATATGTGCACTAAGACCAGCTGGCCGGCGTGCATGTGTGTGCCGGAACCCGGAAGAGCAACAGGCAATGGCTGGAGTGCCCGGAGAGATGGCTCTGCATGCCACTTCCAGCACATGTGCTATAGGTTCACCATCACAGCTCTAGCATTTTTGCATTTAGCTTGGTCTAAAATGCACAGTTTCCCAACTGAAACTATGATTGAGTCTGTCCACGAGTTGTGAGAGTAAGGAATTTTCATTGTGTATTTGATTGCTAGTGCTAGCTAAGTGTTTATGGATGCACTTTGCTAGTCTTCTGCCTGTTTGTCCTACATAGTGGCTTTTACAGTCCTCATATTGTGTGTTATAGATGTCACCTTTTTTCTTCTTCTTGGACTACAGCAGGGGTGTCAAACTGAAGGCCCACAGGCCGGATTCAGCCCACGGGGTGCTTAGATCTGGCCTGTAAGGCCGCTCTAGAAATAATGAAGGATTGGCCAGGGGTGGCTCTGCCAGCAAAAATGGAGCACCCCCCTCTGGCTCCGTTTTCACTGGCAGAGGCTAGCAAAACAAACTAAAAGCAAAACAAAAGGAGAAATGTTTCCCCTTTTGCATTGAGCCTCCAAGAAGATACAGGAAAGGAGAAAAGGAAAGTGGAAACGACAAAGAAAAAGGAAAGATGGGAAGAGAGCAAGGAGGGAGGAAGTCCTGCCTTAACACTTTGCCATCAGCAGATGGCAAAGTCTCCTCTGGAGGACAAGGGTTTAGCGCTTTCCCTGGTCT